AGGCCAGCGACTCGTCTAAGAAAGCCCATTTCAGCAGCTTGTACCCGGGTTCGAAGTTATTCAGTGATGGCCCACGATTCATGACCGTAGGTAAGTATGGGGATAAAGATCGACACAAGCATAATTTTATGTTGATATTCCAATTTGCAACTATTAACTAGACCTGCTAAAAATTCTTTTCGAAGTACTGCTTTTAAACGGAATTTGGAACTCGTCTAGTGTATTTACAATATTATTACCAGGCGCCGAAGTTAATCAAGTGAATTAATAATTTATAAACTTATACTTGAAATCAGTGCTTAAGTTCTATAAAAACGCCTCTAAACTAAAATTATTGCTTCCTTCAACTCCTGCAATGGTAGACCATAGAAATGTCTGTAAGACTAGATGGTGCAGCAGAAGTGAATGTGAAACTGCTGTAGAAGGAACACCTGCCGGAAGCCCGCATTTCCAGCGATAATTTCCAAGAGTTGCAATGTCATCCTGCCACAGTTCGATTAGCCTAGTCCGTTTTTCAGCAGTTATTGCAAGAAACTTGCCTGCATCATACGTGCGATGAGAATGTCCTTTGTTTGAAAAACCACGTTTTTACAGTACTGATCGTCCGGCGAAAGTCAAGTCGCATGGCGGTGGTGGAATAACGAAGAACAACTAGACCTCGTTTGCAAACAGTTCTGAGAAGCTGAAGTTCAGCAAAGATGATCTACGGGGTTTTGTCGTGCAACGTCAGTCAAGCTGTCTCCAGAGAAAATAGTTGGTTAATCTTTTGAAACCACTTGGCAAATCTGTAACTGCAATGCTGACCAGATTCTGTACATCCTAACTAGATGCCTGCGAAGGACCAATTGTTCTGGGCAGTTCTGCTCTAACAGACCCAATACAACTGGTGTAACCGTGTTGACAAACAGTGCCATTCGAAAGGCCAAGCACAGGACTGGTGCGGACTGAACCTGACCGAGAATCAGTCGTTTTCTCAGTGTATGACCGATCCCGAAAAAGAAGAACAGCAATTTTGGGCCGGACCCTAGTTAGCCTGAGACGGATCCACTTTTTCACTGCTTAATTTGCTGCATTATATTTGTTCATTTGGTTTGATAACTCATCGCCTGCCAGAGGGTATACCTAAACAAATTTGACTGACTGCTTGAATGACTAAATGACATATTTACTACTGGAAATGGCGAAAAGTGTTTGACAGCTCAAATGACACGGTGGCAAGATGTCGATATTAACAACAGGAATGTGCCTGTAGACGGAGCTTTTGCATCGCGATTGGCTATGAACATTTTGATGACTCTCCTGGACCATTTGCAAGTCTGTACGGTGGTTCACCAATCTGAAAATGTTTAGTCCAAAGTGGTGATCTGCAAGTTCTACCACTGTTTTTTTTCTTATAATTTTGAGCATAATTTTGGCGAGTGGTTGTCCAGCAGTCCATTGTGAGAAGAAGGAACGTCAACGTTTCCAAAACGTTCATCTAGCCGAGCGAATTCAAAGAACTATGGCACTTTGAGAGGCTTTGTCGTGAACAGACATCATTGGCGATGGCACGTGACCAGCGACACCACCATCTCAACCTACCAGACGGGGTCTCTGCATTACCTCCATATCCTCAGTTCAGTGTTGGTGTTCCAACTCATACATACTGGATTGCAATCATGACTGCAGGTGCTAAAACGTCATGCAGCCGTGGCTTGCTTAAACGGTTCCCCATGCAACTAGCAACAAGGCGACGGTAGCCGCTATTGTGTAAAGCTGGTTAAGCTACACTAAATTGTCTACAAATAATTTTAGTTTGTTATTCTCAGTACTCATGATGTGCTTCATTAATCAAATTCGAACTATTGGCAATGAAAAAGACTTTTTGTGGTGACGGAAGGCCTGAAACACCTCCATTTCACAAAAACACAACACTGGCTAAGCGATGAAACTAAGTGCAAGAAACTGCAGCAAGCCTGTTAACATAGACGCCATAGAAACGAAGAACAGTGGATAAGACAAAACATTTAACCAATTGCGATTACCATTGACCAAATAATTCATCAAACTGCTCCTGCTCATAATCAGCAGAGACATGAGACATGCGTAGCAGGCCGTTGATCTATGAACAGCATGGACAGCATGACACAGTGGTGATAATAATAGCAATTTTTTCCTTATGTATGCGTTTTGACCAACCTGGGTGCTGACTCAAAGTCAGCATAAAATACAACCACTTAGAAGTATCAAAAAGGTTTGGTTCATTCAGGCCGGCAGACTTATAAACAGGGATAATGCAATATCTGGACGCTAGATAGTAAGAAAATCTGTAGACATTACTCATTGCTTGACCCCCTCCCCTCCCACCCCCTTTTTTATGGATTCAACCTCCGTTGACCAGAACGATTTGACATTTTCAAATCTGTTTTAATCACTTTACCTTGACAACGAGCCAAGTATGACTCGAAACGTGGAAAGTTTATGTATTAAACTGAATAAGCACAGCAATTCTGTGCGAAACATGAACAACATGGAGTCAGTTAAAGTCGATTGTTTACTTTTCAAGTTTATTAGGTGCAAACCATAAATTAAAAAGTGTCTGGTTTAATAATGAGTGTTGGGAAGAAAAAATTCATAAAACGAACTGCCAATGCACAAAAGAAGTTGGAGTTCATTGAAGGTCTCATACCTGTAATTTATTACATCACATTTTTTTAAAAATTATCTAAACAATGTGAGTTTACATTCAAATTTTTTCTAGTCACTAAAAAATTGGAAAACCCTCTGACTACGTAGCGATTTCAAAGACTGAAACCAAAAGTTCCGCTGCTTGGAACGAATCTATTGTTAGGTATACGGTACTAAAGGAGAGCAGACACGTGCTATGAGACCAACGCAGACTTGAACACCGAGATGAATCAACACTACGTAGGAACAATAATATGGTTCAAACTGGATGTTCAATAAAAGCGTGCTCAGCTGAAACTAGCTTACTGTAGATATAAACGGAAACAGCGCCAGATAACAATGAGAAATGAATAGCCAACGCGCGTTGTGACACTAAGCTGTCGATATCCGTCTTACGGTAATGTTGATAATGCTGAATCGAGCACACAATCGACATCGACGATCTATGACGCTTGTTTACGACGGTGGCTTATGAAAAATTCAGTACGACCAATTCACTAATGCTCGAAATGGACAACGCGGTGTTAAACAGGGGTGACGAAAGCGATCGATGGTCGGCAGCCGAGCCGGCCAGCGGACAGAAACGGCGGCTACAGCGAGCAGTGCCCGGCCCGGCCCGGCGCTCAAGGGTCACCGGACCGGTCGTGACGGCTTATTACGCATTTGGT